TAATATAATAATAATAATAATCATTTAATAATGGAAAATAATAATAAAAATAATAATAAAAAAATAATAATAATAATTTTATTATTATTATTATTATTATTATTTTTATTATTTTTTTTTTTAAATATAATTATTATTTATTATTCCTTATATTAAAAATTTAATAGGCTAACAAAAAAAAGTCGCGGACATTCCAATTAATTTATAAAGGAACGAACCCTTTAAAAACAGAGGCACAGTGTTAAACACAGAAAAATGTAATACTCGTATACAGTATAAAGACAGGGTACTTGATCCTTTTTTATTGATAAAATATTTTTTTGGGGCGAAGAGTTACTGTGCGCCATAATAAACCCTGTGTAGGTGATTGGCTTTAAACCCATCCAACAAACCCAAACAAATAGTGTATATATCCGAGGGGCAGCCCCCGTGTAATGCACAGAGATGAAAACACCCTCTTGTATATATACTGGGCTGGGGTGTATTTGCCTGAGAATTGCGTAATTCCTGTGAGAACCGAGCTGACGATCTTATAAACCATAATTTAAGCTTCGGGATTTCATGGCAGAATGTAAAAAATATGAGTGTGGTATTTACATGACGATAAGACCTTTTTTTGGAAATCTTCCCCCGTAAGGGTGGATAATATATATATAAAATATATAATTATAATATATATATTTAAAAAATTTTATATGTCGTGTCAAATGTAAAACTGGGCAATTAGCAAGAAAATCATTTAAAAATTTTTGCCCTTTCCCGAAATTTTCTCTTATACGTTTTAAAAATAATTTTTTTTCATTAATGTTAATTAAAAATTTATAATTTTGCACCCCAAAAATATTTAGAAAAATTAGTAACTTTATTCAACAAAAACAATTTATTTTAGCCTAACCCCCAAAAAATATATTTTAGATAAGTTTACAAAAATTAAAAAACAAAGGAAATATATTTTTTTCGTTAGGTTGATGATTTTGGCGAAATTTTGCAAACTCAAATTTTCGCTTTTCCATAATCGATGATTTTTCTATTTAGCCAAAATCGGAAAATTTTGCCTTTTCGGACGAAAGCCCCAAAAACCCTAGGGGAAGGTGGGAAGCTGGAGCCAGGGAAGTTTTTTACTGTGCAACAAGGCGAAGGGGGTTTTCCCAACAGCAAAGCCCATATCGAGACTCAGAAAAAAGGTTTAAAAATTTTTTCGGAACCCCCCGCCAGATAGTTTGGCGAAGGTTGAAAACCGGGGGTTTTGATGAGATTGCCAAAGGTTTACCATCTCTCTGAGGTGTTTTTTTTTGGGTCGAATTCCAGTGTAACCCTAGATCCAATGGAAAGCATATTACCTTTAGACTTTTTATTCTGCAAAATTAATTTTCCAGTGATGATATCTTCCTAAGGGTTGTTGTTAAGACATGGTGTCATGTTGGGTGCTTGTCTCTTAGTCTTTGGGTGTACCTATCTTTGGGAGCAAAGTGTCGAAATTTAATAAATTTTTATTGCTCCCCACTGGTTACCCTTTTTCAATTTTTTTTGATAACCTGTGCGCAGATTTTTGTTTTCATGGAGTTTTTTTGGGTCTACCGCGTGTTCCCCCGATGGGGCAGAGGGGGCAGTGTTTCGTTCTTGGGTAGTTGTGCAGTTTTGAGATGTGGTTAT